AGACGGCCCCAGGATGGCCCCAAGAGGGGGCCCAGAGGGGAAACCCGACCAGACATTTCGAGCTCTCGGCCCCAAGAGGCGCCCTGGAAGCCCCCAGAGGCCCCGAAGAGGCTACAAGAGGCCCCCAAAGAAGCTCCCATGACTCCTAAAAGGCCCACAGGAAGCCTAGAGCGGCGCCCAACAAGCCCTCAAGAGGCCCACCAGAGGCCTCAAAACTGCTCCGCAGAAACTCCCTCCGAAACGACTCCAAGAAGCATCCATGAGAACTTTGACCCACAACCCATGTGCGTCTCGAAACTCTGCTGGAGCTCTCTTGAGCCACCTTGTCGCCCTGTGGGGCATTCGATCGACTCTCTTTGAAAGGGTGCGAGCCAGACTTCCAAAAAACTTCTCGAAAACCGTCCTGCCTGCCCTACCGTCTCCTGGGCACGAGCACACCAGCACGCAGCCACGCTGATGCGAGATTGGCCCGCGGAATGAGCGAAGCTCAACCCAGGACTAGTTACGCGGATTAGTCGGGATCGTGCCAGACTGGGCCGATTTTCGGCCGCGGATACAACAGCGCCGATGCTGAACATAACCTCACATGAGTTGCATCCTGAAGTCATGATGGCTTCGCAATTATTGGTGCGATCGACGGCCCCAACCACTGCTCAGTGCCGCGGACGGGTCGGCAACTCTTGCTCGGCGTGCCGCGGCGGCGGCCCCGGCAACACGCAGTGCCTGGCAGGCGGATGGCGTGCCGCTTCGCCGCGCGGGGCGGGAGGCTCGGGGCAAGCTCGGAGGGCTCACGCCGGAGCACCCGGACGAGGCAGGCGTGCCGCCAGAGTGCCCGACCGTCTGCTGCCAGTCGGCGGCCGCGGTCCATCCGTGGGCATGTGTCCAGTGCCGTGGGCGTCACTTCGTGCCAGGGCGGTCGACCACCGTGGGGGCGTGGACGTTGGACAGGGGGCCGGAGAGCGAGGTGGAAGGTTACGAGGTAGGGGTATGGACGGAAGGGTGGTGAGGAGCTGGTGCATCGGCCTGCTGATCACTCATCGTCGTCATGCGAGTCGGACAGCGAATCGAAGAAAGTCTTAGGAAGGAGGTCGGTGTACGTCTTGCCGAATCGGTTCAACTCTCCCAAAAACCTCCTCGCGTAGTAAACCGCGGAGCAGTGTGCAGCAGAATTGGACTTCACTATCTCGGTGAAGCTCATGCCCTCCAGGACCAGCAAGCAGGAGTCAATCTTGCCGACGAGCTTCCCGATGTGCGACCAGTTTGTCCACAGTATCTGCTCGGCGAGCCAACTGCCCCTACCGATCGTCTCCCTCTGCTCAAAAGGCTGCCAAACCATTTCGGATGGACTCCGGTGCGATTCTGAGTGGGCGTTTCCGATCGACTTCTTAGAGAAACTGCTATTGTACGAATACTCCAGAAGACCACTCTCCACGAAATACATATTGGACTGTCCGCCATCAGGCGTAAAAATCTCTTCGTCCGGCGCTGGCGTCTTCTCCTGCACCTCTGCACATAATCGCCTAACGATTTTCGGGTACGCCACGCGGAACATTGCAAAGAACTTGTGGAAGGAAAGCAAGGGTACTCGCACCTCTTCCAAGAGATCGGCCATTATCTCTATAGGCAACAGCGTGATCACCTGTGCATCGTGCTCGCGGTACGTATGCACGCGCTGCTTCCACTCGATGTACTTCTTCACGCGAACCGATAGCGGCCCGGAGATGTTGTGGTTGCTCAGGTAGCCCCACACCACGACCTGCTCTGTGATTCTGTCGCTGTGAAGCTGCTGCAGCCGCATCATCATGTTTGTAAGGCTCGAAACATACCACGAAAAAATGATGAAGGCGGACATAACCACAAGGACGGCAGTGAGCCGCTCCGACAAAGAATTCCCTGGGAGAATATCGCTCGTGCCCTGGAACTGAGTGACGGTCCAATGCAGTGATGTCAGGTACAAGTAGACGGCTGCCTTTCTGTCTGCCCAAGTGGTGGCGGGATGGTCCATCTCCAAAGCGCTCACCCATCCGACTTCCCCTTCCGCGATGGCGGCGTGCTTGCCGACCGCGTACCAGACGCACGACAGCACGTGGTTGATCATCACCAGGCCAATCATATACTTCACGATGCCGAGCGAGCAGAGCACCTCGGGAGAGTTGATCACATTCAGGGACTCGCTCAGCACGTGCGTAAATTTCACTAATCCGCCACCCCGCTTGCAGCGGTTGATGCGTGTGTGTGTGTGTGTCGGTGTTTGTTGTGTGTTACTCCCGCTTCTTGCGAAACACTAGTCGAGGCCCCGACTACTCGAACCCCCGACACCCTTTTACTTGTGTTCAACCAAGAACCTGAAGTACATTATCCCGGCAAAGCAACCTAACAGCGATGTGTATAAGCATATCTGGAAGCGTTCCCCTTAAGATTCAGGTGAGAATCCAGTTGTAGAATTCTCCTGTTCTCGCAGTCGCAGTCGCATTCGCAATGACAGTCGCAGTGGCAACGGCATTAGGATCCAATGGAATCCAAAGGATTCCCAAGGATTCCTGAGGATGCTTAACTATGCCTACCGATTCCTAAGAATGCCTACGGATCCCTAAGGATTCCTAGGGAGTCCTAAGGATTCCTATGGATTCCTACAGATGCCTCAACCTGCCTCAGTTTCAGCCTCAGCCTCAGCCTGCCTCGGCTTGCCTCAGCCTCAGCCTCAGCCTGCCTCGCCTCAGCCTCAGCCTCAGCCTCAGCCTCAGCCTCAGCCTCAGCCTCAGCCTCGGCCTCAGCCTGCGCCTCAGCCTCAGCCTCAGCCTGCCTCGGCCTCAGCCTGCCTCGGCCTCAGCCTGCCTCAGCCTCCCCTCCTCCCCCCCCCTTCCCCCCCCCCCCCCCATTCAGCCTCACCTTGTCTCAGCTTCGGCCTGCCTCGGCCTCATCCTCAGCCTCAGCCTCAGTCTCAGCCTCAGCCTGTCTCGGCCTGAGCCTCAGCCTCAGCCTGCCTCAGCCTCAGCCTGCCTCAGCCTCAGCCTCAGCCTGTCTCAGCCTCAGCCTGCCTCAGCATCAGCCTCAGCCTCAGCCTCAGCCTGCCTCGGCTTGCCTCAGCCTCAGCCTCAGCCTGACTCGGCGTGCCTCAGCCTCAGCCTCAGCCTGCCTCGGCCTCAGCCTGCCTCGGCCGCAGCCTGCCTCAGCTCGGGCAGTCAAAATATGGCACAGGACTGGTGTTCTGGGAACACGAAGATCACGAAGTGGCCCACAATTGGCTCCGGGCAATCCAAATATGGTGCACGAATCATGTTCTGGGAACACGAAGAACACGAAGTGGCCTACAGTTGGCTCCGGGCATTCAAAATTAGCTTGGGAATGGTGTTCTGGGAACACGAAGAAAACGAAGTGGTCTACAGTTGGCTCCGGGCATTCAAAATGTGGCCCGGGAATGGTGTTCTGGGAAGACGAAGAACACGAAGTGGCCTACAGTTGGCTCCGGGCACCTACAGCTGGCTCCGGGCACTCAAAATGTGGCCCAGGAATGGTGTTCTGGGAAGACGAAGAACACGAAGTGGCCTACATTTGGCTGCGGGCATTCAAAATGTGGCCTGGGAGTGGTGTTCTGTTGGCTCCGGGCAATCAAAATGTGGCTCCTGGCAATGAAAATGGGGAGTCCCCGGATCCCCGCGGGAGTCCCCGGATGCCTGCGGCACCCGTCCGGCATCTGCCCAGACCCCCCTGGGGAGTCATGATGCTCTCTTTTGAGACCACTAGAAACCTATCAGTCTTCGCCGTTAGGTAAAAACAAAACCGCGGGCAGCCGGATCCGTGGCATGTCACAGCCCCGCCACACCTTCGGCGGCAACTCACGGAAGCCTCCCATACCGTCGTGCCGAATCTTGCGAAACCGAGCCAACCGACGCTGATCGACTCTAGCCGATGCCAACCGACGCTGAAGTCGACGCTCCTCGACGTCAAATCGGCGCCCTGCATCTCTGACCACACGCCAGCCCATGCGAGTACACCTCTGAAGACGGAACACCGCGGGAACATACTACAAGGCCCCTACGAGTTGCTACTCAAGCATGCCCGCCAGCTTCCGCCAGCGGCGCCGCCTCCGTTCTGCTCCCGCCGCCTCCCGGCGGCCTCCCGCCGAGGAAGACGTGCCAGCTCCTCCGACCCTCGGAGGCGAGGACCTCTCTGGAGCGCGCCGTGTGCCCCCCCTCCGCCGCCCCCCCCCCCCACCGGTGACGGCCCGGGCGCGGTGGAATCGCGCGGCAGCGCGGCTGGATCGCAGCAGCCGCAGCACCCGCAGGAAGCGTATCGTCTTCACGCCCGTGGAGGCTCGCGCGGCCTCGCAGTTGGTGCAGCTGCCCTCGCAGGCGGCGGCATCCGAGCCCCACCGCCGCCGATCGGTCCCAGCGGGGTCCGTAGGTGGCGCTCCCTTTGGGGCCCTGATCCTCGTGAGGGGTGCTCCGAAACGGGCGCGCGTGCGCCTTGCGCACCGTCCCAATTGGGGCCGCAGATGGAGCTTCCTGTGGGGCCGCGATCCTCGCGAGGTGCGACGAACTGGGCGCGCGTGTGCCATGCGGACCGTCCCATTGGGGCAGCAGGGCTGCAGGCAGAGCTCCCTGTCCGTGGGAGCCCCCACCCACTGATTCTCTTGAACCGATGGGAGACAGGGGTAGGGTTCGGATTTCGCCAAATGTCCGACGAATCCCGAGCCTTGCCCCCGCCGCCTATCGAGTTGCCTGAATCGTTGATCGATGAGGGCAGGGTTCGGATTTCGCCGCCGACCTCGTCCACGAGAAGCAGCACCCACAGCGGCACGGTGACAATGATGTCGATCGGGAACCAGGTCGTTGCGTACGCGTAGACGACCTTGCTGAATCGCATTTCCAGCTCGCTGTTCTTGTAGTAGCCCGTCAGGAAGGACACACAGATGTCGAGCGTCCAAAAAATCTGGGACAGCCAGCCCATGGCGACCAGGAAGTCGTCCTGATCCAGGCTGTAGGCCAGCTCGACAGGCATCACGAGAATGTCGTATCCGCCACCCTGCCCTTGAGACACGAGTGTGTCCTCAGATCAGTTGTGGGACCCAGTGGATCCTCAATCCTCAATCCTAGGGATTATCTGAGGGGCCCGAGCCCAAGACAGCCAAACCATGTGGGGCGAGTCGCGTGGGCCATGGGGCTCCCGGCGTCGTGTGGCATGACGTTTTCGGCCCCCAGAGAGGCCCAAGAGGGGACAAAAGGCCCCAAGAGGCCCCCAAGACGGTCCAAGAGGGCCCCGAATCTCTGCGCGATCGGTCCAAGACGCCCAAGATGGCCCCAAGACGGCCCGACGAGGCCTCCAAGAAGCCTCCAGAGAGGACCACGAGAAGCAAAACCACTGGTTACCTTTGGTGTTTGAAAGATTGTGGCGTTCTCGCCGTTTCGGCTTCCGGACGCTCCAGGACGTTCCAAGAGGCCACCAAGATCGCTCCAAGACGGCCCAGGAGGCCCCCAAGACGGCCCAAGAGGCCCCCACGACAGCTCCAAGAGGGGACCTCGACGGGAGACCCGAATGGACAATTAAAGCTCTCAGCCCCTGGATGTCCCCAAGAGGCCCCCAGGAAACCCTCAGAGGCCCCCAAGGGGTTCTCAAGTGCCCCCCAAGAGGCTCCCAACAGGCCCCAAAACAGTCCGAAGAGGCCCCCAACAGGAGCGCTCCGAAGAGACCCCAGGAAACATCCGTGAGGACTGGAACCCAAAACACCGGCACGGTGGCGATAGGCCAAAGGCAAGTAGGCTCGCCGCACACTGTTGGCTTGCCACAGGGGTGCCCAGCGTGCTGAATCCAAACGCTCTTGGTGTGGGCTTTCCAAAAGAACTCTCCCTGGGGCTTCGGCCAGTCCTGCCGGCCACCCGAAAGGACCTACAAGGTACCCGATCCTCACAACAAAAACCCCAAGACGGCTCAATATGGCTTTCAAGACCGCCAAGATGGCCCTCCAAAATGCCGCCAAGATGCCGCCAAGATGGCCTCCAAGATGGCCTCCAAAGATGCCTCCAAGATGCCGCCAAGATGCCTCCAAGATGCCGTCAAGACGACCTCCAAGATGCCGCCAAGATGGCCTCCAAAATGCGTCCACGATGGCCAAGATTGCCTCCAAGACGGCACAAAAGGGTCACGGTCCGAGATACCTCCAAGTCGGCCCAAGATGGCCTCCAACACGGCCGAAAACTGCCCAAGACGGCCTCCAAGACGGCCCCAAGAGGCCTTCGAGAGGTCCTCCCGGAGGGCCCGACGAGGCTAACTTCATTGATTTGCAGTTTTTCTTGAAGGATGTCGTATTTGCTCCTTTTCGGCCTTCCGACGGCCTTCCGACGGCCCAAGAGGCCCACAAGAACGCCCCCAACTCGCCAAATAGGCATTCAAAATTGCCTGAGGATTGCCCAAGAGGCCCCCAAGACGGCCCCAAGAGGGCCCCAAGGCGGCCCAAGAGGCCTCCAAGACGCCCAAGGAAGCCTCCAAAGCATCCCTGGAGCACCCCAAGAGGGTCCCAAGTCAGCCCAGAGAGGCCCCCAAGACGGCTTCCGACGGCGTCAGACGGGGCAGGAGCCCACCAAGACGGCCGAAGATGGCTCTAAGATGGCCCAGGACGGCCCAAGAGGCCTCCAAGAGGGCCGCCAGGAAGGCCCGAAGAGGCCTACATCAGTGATTTGCCTTCGGTGTTTGACGGATGTTGGCATTTGCTTTTTGTTCGGCCTACCGACGGCACGAGACGGCCCAAGAGACATCAAAGATCGCCCCAAGATCGCCTCAGAGGCCTCCAAGATGGACCCAGAACGGCACAAGAGGCCCCCAAGACGGCCCCAAGAGGGCCCAAATAATGCCCAAGAGGCCTCCAAGACACCCAAGAAAGCATCCGAAACGGACCTGCAGCAGTCCAAGAGGGCCCCAAGTCGGCCCAGAGAGGCCCCAAGACGGCTTCCTTCGGCGTCAGACAGGCCAGAAGCCCACCAAGACGGCCGAAGATGGCTCTACGTAAGATGGCCCAAGACGGCCCAAGAGGCCTCCAAGAGGGCCGCCAGGAAGGCCCGACGAGGCAAACATCAGTGAGTTGCCTCCGGCGTCTGGCGGATGTTGGCATTCGCTTCTTTCCGGCCTACCGACGGCACGAGACGGCCCAGATCGCCCAAGAGGCCCCCAGGATGGCCCCAGAACGGCCCAAGAGGCCCCCAAGACGGCCCCAAGAGGGCCCCAAGGCGGCCCAAGAGGCCTCCAAGACGCCCAAGGTGGCCTCCAAGACTGACCTGGAGCACCCCAAGAGGGTCCCAAGTCAGCCCAGAGAGGCCCTCAGGACGGCTTCTGACAACGTCAAACGGGCCAGGAGCCACCAAGACGGCCAAAGAAGCCCCCGAAAAGCCCCCAAAGGACCCCAAAAGGCCCAACGAGGCCCCCAAGATGCCTCCAAGAGGCTCTCAGGAAGCTCCCAAGAGACCCCAGTTGTCCCCAGAGGTTTCCGAAATGCCCCCTTTTCCTCTTCCTCCTCCTCCGCCTCCTCCTCCTCCTCCTCCTCCTCCTCCTCCTCCCCCTCCTCCTCCTCCTCCTCCTCATCCACCTCCTCCTCCTCCGCCTCCTCCTGATCTTCACCGTGTAGCAGCAGCAGGGACAGTAGATGTTTTCCCTTGAGCCAAAGTGTCACAACGGTCAGACACATGCTCAGAATCCCATAGCAAAACCGATCTGACAAAATACGCTAGCCTCCTTCACAGGTCAGACTTTCTCCTAGTTTGCACCCCCAAGCCGCTCGGTCCCTCTGACCAGCGGGAAGCAGTCCGATCCTGGACCGACTGGTGGTGCTCAAACGAGAGAAAGAGGGAAAAGCATGAATGGCGGGAAAACAGAGTGCACACGAGATTATTGAAAGGTGGAAACATACGACAGGGAAGGAGGAGGGGAAAGGAGACCACCACCTCCACCACCACCACCAACCCGGACCCGGGCCTGGAAGTCCTTCCACGAAACCAGGACCTCGTCCAGCGTCTTCCGGGAGGCAGCCTGGGTGCGACTCTTGAGCTCAGGCTGCGCACGGCGGCGTTCAACCTCGGCGCTCTCGTCCACCCATACAAGACGGCCGCTCACCATCAAATCGAAGAGTGCTGCGTTGCCATTGGATATGTCATCCTTGGTCAACTGATCCACAGGCATCCTGCCGTGAGGAATCCAGCGAACAGCCCCGGAGGCCCTCTCGAGGGCCTCACAAATGATAGCCAAGTCAATAGCCGTGCGGCGATCTCGGGCGGACGCGTTGCCTTCCTTGATCATCGTATCATAGATGGACTTCGCATCGACGACGTGCACTTGTCGTTCTCTGGATCCTAGCTTGCAGTCGGAGCGAAGCACCGTGGTGAAGGGGCCCGCGCAGCGGTAGTGATCCTGGACATCCACATCTTGGAACATGACATCACGGTACAAGATTAGCAGGTATTCTACCTCCGCGATCGCGGCGGACAGTGCCTGTGTCTCTCCAGCCAGTGTGGACGGAACTTTCCGTCTCAATTTTGAACTGCGCCAGCCTAGAAGTGAGGCCTTCACAGATCGGTTCTCCAGGATGTCACGATCTGCCGCCAGGACCATCCACGCTCCCTGCGTCGGGTCCTCCGGCAGCCCTCGGTCGTCGAGCATGTCATCGAAGGCCCCGACCCCGCCCGCGTCTGAGAACGATATAAAGGCCATGCGCTTGGGGTCCAGCTTCCACACTGTGAGTCCACGCGACGCTGTGGCTCGTAGATGTCGCGCGAACCTGTTCGCTAGAGCCACGTCTCCGGTCGTGGGTGCCTTCAATCTACTTGCCAGGATGCTCGCTGCACCAGCTGCCTGTGGCCGACACTCTCGACCCACCCAATTAAACTTGTAAGCTAGAGAACGCAGGGCCCGGAACTCACTCTGGTCGAGGGGGCTACTCTTGGTGGATAACCGTCCGCGGGCCATCGTCTCTTCCAAGATGTACTTTTCCTGGTCCAGGGTGGCCCGTTCGGGCCCGATGGTAACCCTCCTGCCCGCGAAATCAAACGGCCCACTGTGGCAGTCTCGGTGCTTCCCGAACTTAAACCTGGATTCCAAAAGTTTTCGGAGCCAGGCCCGAGTGTCCGGGGAGCTGCTGCCCAGGAAAAAATCATCAACCTCCAGGAAGACCATATTGAGGATGCGCCCCTGGGGGCCATGCCGCATCCACCAGCATGGCTCAAGGAGAGACTTTTTGAAGCCGTGCTGGGCCAAGAACCTAATGGCCGTCTTCCTCCAGGCGACCGGGGCGTCGTCAAGTCGGTATACGTTGGCCCGCTGCAGGATCAGGGAGCCCTTGGGAAGCTCGATGCCTTCACAGGGCTCTACGTACAGCAGTCCTTGCGAGCGAGACATAGGATCTGATTGACAGAACGCGTTCTTAACATCTGCTATGTCCGCAGGAAGGGACAGGTTCATGAGAACCTGAGTGAACATCATGATGCTGGACGTTTGGGGAGTGGGAGCATACACCTGCAATGAGCCCGAGTCTGGGTCTCGGTGTCCGTGCACGCACCATCTTGATTTGGCCTGAAGCTCTGATCCAGTGCCCTCGACGGGCTTCCAGCGACGGACCATCCGGTTCGTGATGATGCGATCGGCCTGGGACTTCCATATCGCTTCCGCCTGCGCGGGGGGGGGGGTGATGTCGACAGCTCCAGTGCCCATCATAGCCTCCCACTCCTTTCGGTCCGAGAGCGTGAATCTCGCCCTCTCGGCTGGCTCAGGTTCTTTAAACTAACTTATCCACCGCGGCTGGCAGCCAAAACCCACTCACTCGACTCGACCAGTCCGGTCCACTCACTCACTGGCCAGGCCCGGACTCCGTCTTCCTCCACCCCACCACCACCACCAGAGGAGGGGAGGGGAGAGGAAAGGAAAAAGTGAAGGGGACAGGGACGAGGGACCGGAAAGAGTGGTCGGAGCAGGAGGAGAGGAAGGAGACGAGGAGGAGCCCCCTCCAGACGTGTCCTCGACCCTCGGCCGCTTGATCTCGGCAGGGC